AAAAAAAAAAAAAAAAACACAACAGGCCCCAAATGGAGTCACTTGTCCGTATCAGCAAACCAAGACTTTGTATCTAACCTAATTGCAGTTTAGTCTCTCCCAGGAATGTGACCTTTAACCAGTCAAACTGGAATTTCCCGGTCAGCAGTAGTAGGTAATCTGCCTGAAAGACCCCCACCTTTCCCCCAAAGGGAGGTGACGGTGCCTGAAATAATACACCTGTCTTCCTCTTTCTGCCTCTAGAAGCTTTCCATTTCGTGTAGCTCTTTGGAGCTCCTTTCTGTTTGCTAGATGGGATGCTGCCCGATTCATGAATCATTGAATAAAGCCAATTTGATCTTTAGATTTACTCAGCTGAGTTTTGTTTTTAACACCCTCAGTCCAAGTTTGGGGCAAGAGCTCTGTCCTGACCACTGCTCTGCTACTAACCAGTTGTTGGTAGTAACTGTGGGCAAGTTAACTAACCTTGCTGAGCTTCACTGTCCTTATGAGGAAAATGAGGGCATTGGATGAGAGGACCTCTGAGGTAATACCTCACTTGTGATCTCCAGTTTTGGGTTATTTACAAAGGGAAAATCCCAAGAGTGAAAAAAAGCCCTCCATTCCCCATTCACCTCAGGGCCGGTGGCTGAAGTTGGTGGTTTCTGGAGTTAAGCAGCTGACTCAGACCTTTGCGGCTTCCGCACTTTTCCTACCTAACCAAGGGGAGGGGCGAGTAGGGTGAGGTGGCTCAGAGCCGCCTGCTCTGACCCATCAGCTAGGTGTGGCTGCAGAAAGGGACACAGTGACTGCTTGCTGCTGGCCTCTCCCAAGGGCTGCCTCCTCTCTCTGGAGGAATTGATTGGCACACGGGGACCAAGCTGGGTCCTGACGGTACCAAGCCCACCGAGGAGGGGGGAGGAGAGAAGGGCCCATGCTGGCTTTGTGTAAGGGATGCTGAGGAGGCAGCACTGGCCACAGTTCCACTGCACCCATTCTCCCCTACCCCTCCCCTGCAGTTTTGAGGAGAATTCAGGTATGAGGAGGTGTCTGCGGAGGCTGGAGGGGGAGCTACAGTGGGCAGGAGGCCAGGAGCCTGACTGGCTTTAATAAGTAAAAATGCAGCTGGTTATTATGTGTTTGCTTGTTTTCTTCTGTACGCAGCATTTTAGGCAGCCCTAGTTTTCAAAGATCAGGTGGTCTGATAGCTTATGAATATCAAAGAAAACCTTCCATTTCTAGAGTCATTTGCCAGGCTCTTCTGAGCTTGCAAAATATCCTATTTACCCTGTAGATAGGCTGTTACTCATATGTAGGATATTAGCTGATGGGCACCATAAGACTCACGCCAAAATGCCTTGGCCAATGACCTGCCACAGGGCTCCCTCCCAGCCTATCTGGTTTCCGTTTGCTACTTGTAAACAACTACTTGCTTCAGAAGACCTTTATCAAAGTGCATTTAAATTATCTGAGAGGGGAGAAGTATTTTTTTTTTCAAGATTTTATTTTTGAGTAATCTCTACATCCAATGTGGGACTCGAATTTACAACCCCGAAATCAAGAGTCACATGCTCTACTGACTGAGCCAGTCTGGTGCCATGGGGAGAAATATTTTCATGATTTTTAGCTGTGGAAGATTCTAGTGCCCCACTTGCTGTAGAATTTTCTGGAAGTTTCTCAAGCCATAGTGGTTTAGGGTATGGTTCTGCAGGTTTTGCATGTATATTCCAGTCTTCTCCATGGGCATACAGCCATGAATCAGTTTAGATGATCACCTTGGCAGACAATGAGATTGCCTGGGCAGGTGTCTAATAAATACTTATTGCATGTTTAGTTGAATAGATTGGAGCTTCGCTACGTCAGTCACGGCTCTGTGCTGCATAGAACAGAAACCAACACTAGTCACATCGAGCAAATAGAGAAAATCCTGGAAGGATATCCGAAACTCACAGAATTAAGGCAGGTGATCTAGAAAGTTGTAGAATCAGGGTAGCTCTGGAGTCTTGGCACAGAGCCTACAGGAAATTCACAGCTTGGGGGCCATATTGGCCTGATGATGGCTCTAATCTCCAACATCTCCTCTGACCCAAGATTCAAAGTTCTGGGACTTTCAGGGTCTGAATGGCTGAATTGAAATAATTTGCCCATGGGTAATAAAAGAAGGATCTGAGCTCTTCAGTTGCAGTGAGAGGCTGCAATTAAAGGAACATACTAAGACTTGGTCGCCAAAGGAGGCCTCACACAATGGGGAATTTGCCAGAAAGGAAGAAGGTAATATTAGTGGGAAGGGGGCAAATTAGATATTACACTGTGAACAAGGACAGATGTCATCTACACTGACACTAAAATGAGAGATAAGGTGGGGCTGGGGCTGGGGCTGGTTGCTGGTCAAGGTTGAAGGAGAAGAAGGTTGTAGTTTTGGAGGAAGGAGAAGAACATGACTTTCAGAGACCATGGGTGGCCAGCAAGATAGCAGTAGAATCCTGGGGAGGGGATAACAGAACCTGGATGGTGAGGTGCAGAGAACAGGTGTTTCGTGGTGTTCTTAGGCTAACACAGGAGCTCAATACATATTTGTTAAATTCATAACAAAGTGGAAATGTACATCATGCTATTCAGATACGAGACTGAAGTTCCTCTGGCTGGATGAGGTGGGGAGTATGTCCCCACAGAGGTTGACTCATCCTTAAAGCCAGCCTGGCTAGTCATCCCTCCTCCTGAGAACTTTCCCATTCACTCTGGAGCAAATAACCTCAAGCCCTCCCTCAGTAAGGGGTGTGTGTGTGTGGGGGGGTGGATATCCTTACTCTATCTGAATCTGAAAAATAGGGAGCATCTGTATCTAAAATGTCTATAGAGTTAGCATTGGATTTTCCCAGACTTTAGCTGGACTAGAGTAACTTTGCCTTTATCTTCCAAGGAAATATACTTCTACCTCTAGGTTATCAGGTGAGGACTCAAACCTCAATTTCTGCCAATTATTTTCCTCCTTTTCCAGAAGAGTCTCTCTTCTTCCTCTCCTTCATGCAAAGCAGCATGGCCCAAATGCATGGATTCTGATGTTCTATAAATTTGGGTTTGAATCTCAGCTCTTCCCTTTATTTGATGGCTGTGTGACCTTGTCAGATGTTACCAAATCTGCTTTATCCTCTGTGAAATGGGGAAAATAATGCTTGTCTTGCAAGAGGCATCATGAAAATGTATGTTGAAGTGCCACATATATAAAAAAACTGCAGGGTGGGGGTGCCTGGCTGGCTCAGTCGGTAGAACATGTGACTCTTGATCTCAGGGTCATAAGTTCAAGCCCTATGTTGGGCAAAGAGCTTACTTAAAAATAAAATAAAATAAGATAAAAATTAAAAAATGCTTGAATTAAAAAAAACTACAACAACACTACATGGCAGGTTGTCCAAAAGATGGACAAGAAGTTGCAGATACCACCTCTTCTCCTACCCTGGGCTATTTGTTTATTTATTTATTTATTACAGATTTTATTCATTTGACAGAGAGAGACACAATGAGAGAGGGAACACAAGCAGAGGGCGTGGGAGAGGGAGAAGCAGGCTCTCCACTGAGCAGGGAGCCCTATGTGGGGCTTGCTGTGGGGCTTGATGTGGGGCTCAATGTGGGGCTCGATCCCAGGACCCTGGGACATGACCGAAGCCGAAGGTAGAAGCTTAACGACTGAGCCACCCAGGCGCCCCTACCCCGGGCTTTTTAAAGACTAGTTATTGTCTCTTTATCAAAAAGAGTGTTAGCTTTTGGCAGGCCCAAGGGTGAGACATATTATCTAGTGGATACAAATAATAATTTTTGAGAAATATGGTATTATATAATAGAGCAGAAATAATTCCTCAGGCACTATCAAAGCTTAGATAAAAATCTCTTAAAATCTCCCAATTCCTATTTAGCTTAAGGAACTAACAGGTCAGGTACACAAAGATGTTATGTAGAGGGATGGTCATTGCAGGTTTTTTTTTTTTTTTTAAAGATTTTTATTTATTTATTTGACAGAGAGAGAGATAGCGAGAGCAGGAACACAAGCAGGAGGAGTGGGAGAGGGAGAAGCAGGCTTCCTGCCGAGCAGGGAGCCCGATGTGGGGCTGGATCCCAGGACCCTGGGATCATGACCTGAGCCGAAGGCAGACGCTTAATGACTGAGCCACCCAGGCGCCCTGCAGTTTTGTTTCTAAAAGTAAAGTTTGAGAACAACTTAAATTGTAACTATAGAAGGACACCTGGCTGGCTCAGTCAGTGGAGCATGCAACTCTTGATCTCAGGGTTGCAAGTTTGAGGCCCATGCTGGGTGTAGAGATTACTTAAAAATAAAATCTTGGGGTGCTTGGGTGGCTCAGTTGGTTAAGCGTCTGCCTTCGGCTCAGGTCATGATCCAGGGGTCTTGTGATAGAGCCCTGCCCCTCGTCAGGCTCCTGCTCAGTGGGGAGTCTGCTTCTCCCTCTTCCTCTCCCTCTGCCCCTCTACCCCTGCTCATGTTCTCTCTCTCTGTCTCAAATAAATAAAATCTTTTAAAAAAGTAAAATCTTAAAAAATTATAACCATAGAGGATTATGAGCTTAAATATAGTAATTTTCTTCGTTTATTTATTTTTTTAGTAATCTCTACACCTGACATGGGGCTCAAACTTAACAGCCCTGGGATCAAGAGTTGCATGCTCTTCCAAATGAGCCAGACAGATGTCCCAAATTATAGTAATTTTTTACAATAAAACTGTATAGTCTTTAAGAAGATTCTGTAGAAATATATTTAATCACATGGAAAGGTGTTCTTGCTGTATTAAGTGAATAAATTATTATAACATTATAGTATGATTCTATTTTTATTATATATGTATAATATTTGAAGGGATATATGTTAAATGTTAGTGCTTATCTTTGGGTGTGGAAGTATGGAGATTTTATATTATTTTTATTCATAACTATTTTCTAATTTTCCCACAATGAACATGTATTATAGGTATATATAAGAAGGGGAAATGATCATCTAATCCTTTTTGCCCTGATTTTAGACTCTTCAAGCACCCTTTTTTCCAAATTTGGTTTCTTCAAGGCTATCTCTTAAGAAAATATAGGGACAAAGTTATATCTAGCTAACTTATAATTAATATCAAAGGCAGTCTTGAATTTTTTTTTCCACAAAAAAGGTGTGAATTGTAAAAGGTGGGGGACAACTTTCCCTTTATCCTTCTAGATTCTTTTGGCTGGTCTGTTAATTAAATTGACATAAGACAGATTAACAGGAGAAAAATAAATTATGTAGGTATGGGAGCCCAATAAGAATATGAGACGGACGAAAATGTCAGGCAATTGAAGCTTCTACGCCATCCTGAGCTAGGAAATGGGAATAGGGGCCCTTGCCTCAAAGGAGAGGAGGGTAATTCCCAGGACAATAAAAACAGATGTTTGATAATTAGATGTTTGCCTTGCCATACACATGGGTCACTCAGATGAAAAGTTATTTCTGGTAGTAGTAGTCTTTCCGGGCCAGGCCTCCCTAAACTCTTTTAGGTAGTTAAGGGAGAGGTAAAAGTAATTTTCTTGAATCTTCTGGGTTTTGATTGCTTTCAGCTCAAAATAATGCACATGCCAAAGTGGCCTATTTTGGGGTCATGTATTCTGCTCCCCCTCAGAATGAAGAGGAAACAGATGTTCCTACTCTGTTTTAGTTTTCTTCTTTTTTTTTTTTTTTTCTTTTCAGAAATAGCACGTAGCACTATGGCCTCCCCTCAGTGAATGCTTTGTCAAAACTTGAGCTCCTTTCCTTGTTCTTACTGCAGGATGAGACACTGAAGTCAACCAGCCCAGAGTGAATATCCTAAAGGCTCTAGGACCTAGTTTTTTCAGTTTCTCAAAACTGGGAAAAGGGCAGATGATAATGATTACAAATCTGTCCCTGGGAAGGTATCTATCCATCCCTCTTGTGATGAATTAATAAAATAGTCTTCTGATTTAAAAATATGTTTCCTGGGCGCCTGGGTGGCTCAGATGGTTAAGCGTCTGCCTTCGGCTCAGGTCATGATCTCAGGGTCCTGGGATCGAGCCCCACATCAGGCTCCCTGCTCAGTGGGGAGCCTGCTTCTCCCTCTGCCTCTCTCTCTCTGTGTCTCTTATGAATAAATAAATAAAATCTTAAAAAATAAAAAATATATAAAAATATGTTTCCTGAGAATTTGCTTAGCATGAACAATCCTTGATAAACCGATAAAATGCCTTTTGAAATTTGAGTAAATGTCCTAGGTTTGGTCAGAGGGGGAAAAAAAGGGTCCTTGCCTTAAAAAAGTCCAAAGTCCAGTTGGGGCAGCTAGACATATAAAAAAATAATTGTAAAGTAATACGAGAAAGGTCTTAACTGATTTATTAACAAAGCGATATTAGCATTTGGACATTATAACTTGTGATTTTAGGGATGAATGGAAGTACGCCAAGTGGGGGCGGGGCAGAGAAGGCAATGCAGGAAGAGCAAATTGTGTGTCACAGCCTCAAAGTATTTCGGCAGAAAGATCAGTTTCTCTCCTTGAAAAACTGATGACCAGACTTTGTATAGAGAACCCCAATTTCCACACAGCCTGCTACACCCAGTGAGCATTTCCCGTTAGGTTACCAATAGTGAATTCTTGTCAAGGAAGCGGGTTCCGAAGATTCGGTAAGAGATGTTCATATTCGTAGAAAATGATAGAGATCTCCAGGGCTTTATGAAACGCAAGAGACTTCAAGCACCGCTTCGGCCAAACGCTTCACTTCTTCACTTCTCTCAAAAACTTGCACCTGCTACCTTTTGCTGAATGTGTAACTCGAACTGCTGAAAGTTTTTAATTTATGGCGCTCTGATCTTTCCGGGGAAAAAATGGTAGGAGAGACAGGGGCCGAGAGCGAGAAGGTCAGACCGCGGCCTCGGATTTCTTTTTGAGACTCAATTTTTCTCTAGGTGATCGCCAACCGGAATGGTTCCAGGGTCTACTCTGTTCTTCGCTTTCCCCTTGCCTTTCTCCCCTCCTCTCCTCCATCCGTCCTCCCCGGTTTCTGGGTCTCCCAGCTTAGCAGCTGACCACTTCCTAAACACCCGGCGGGAACTCCGTGGGTCTCAGCCCCCGCGGACCGCGGACCGCAGCCGGGCCGGGCCGAGAAGCAGGGGGCGGGGCGCGCTGCGCGGCGGCGCAGGCGCACTGGAGCCGCCGCGCCAAACCGCAGCCATGGAGCAGGCACCTCGGGATCCCGAGCGGCAGCTGCAGCCGGCACCCTTAGAGCCGCTGGGCCACCCCGACGCGGGCCTGCAGGCCGCGGTCGGTGAGGAAGCGGAAGGGGCCCGAGACGAGGGCTCCGGGGAGGGCACGGTGAGGAGAAGGGGCGGCAGAGGCCACGGGGCCTGGTGTCGGGGCCTAGCGGGCCGAGCTGGGCTGGGCTGGCGGGGCCCCGGGGGCTCGAGCCGGGAAGGCCCGGCGGTGAGGGGACAGCAGGGTGGAAGGGCCGGGCCACAGGTGCAATGAAGGGGAGGCTCGGTGGAAAAAGGGGGTTTTGGGGAGGGGCGAGCGCCTGGCGCTGCGGGACCAAGGGAAGGGCCGAGAGGGCGGCGGCGCGGGGAGCGGAGGGGATGTGTGGGTGCGGTCCCGCGGGCGTGGAGGTCGGAGCCCGGGACCCGCCGGGCTGGAGCAGGTGCGGTGTTCAGAGGTCGGGGGACCTAGAGGTTTGGACCAGAAGAGCAACACTGTTGTTCCTGGCATTCTGGTTTAGGGTTGTGCGGAGGCGATGGCCGAACCGAGGCGTGGAGAGTGGGCAGCGGTGCTGGAGAAGGAGGGGAATGGGGGCCTTGAACAAGTTGGGGGTTAAAAAGGGTGGTTGGCTTGGTGCCACCATCAGGAAATTGAAGAAATTGTCGGATTCAAGAAGAGGTACAAATAAAAAAAAATTAAACTCCGTATTTGTCTGCAGTTTCTTCACTTGGAGGCAGTGCCGTATTTCCCAGTTGAGTGAGGTTTGTCATCTATATCCCATGGACCTGCTTTGTGAAGCCCCTGCTTTGTGAAGCCCCTTAGTGATTTTCATTGCTTGAGGAGAGGAGAAAATGCATCATTGTATATTTGTAATTGCTTTCATTCCAAAGTGTTTTCATGCATAATGCAAGATAGGTAGACCGGGTTAAATCGAAGCATTTCAGAAACCATCACTCCACATGACACCATTCTCTCCAAGAGTGTGCGTTGATCATCCATTTTGCTTCCTTTTTTCTGGAACAGGTGTTAGTGCTAATATAAAACTGCCCATTCTTATGGTATACGGGTAAAGAAAAGTTAAAGTTGTTTGCTGGATGTAACTAGAAAGCCTTTATTTAAAGTTTAGAGACCAGATAACCAGGAACTTCATACACAGTAGTTGAAGGTTTTGCCTTAGGGAAATGTGGAGATACATAGGGTAGCATAAAGACTTTTTGGGGTGAGTTTTAAGTTTTTCATTTAATTTTTTCCAAAATGTAGAATTATTTGTGGAAAGGTCAGGATCTCATATTAAATGTGAAGAAGTGTGTGTATTTTTAGTTCATAAATTTGGCTCTTATGATTTGCTCTTTATGCAGGTTTCCATCTGTGACTTAGTTTTTGTGTTCCCCTTTTTAAAAAAAACTTACTGTGAAGTATGTCATCACTAAACAATAAATAATTATCTCACAAAATAATTGAAGCACTCATATGTTCTCCTGGGTTACAGCTCACTCCCTCCACCACAGAGGTAACCTGTATTCTGCATTTTGTATTAACAGTTCTTTTGCTTTTCTTATAATTTTACCATATGTATCCCTAAACAACATGTTGTTTTACTTGATTTTGAAATTTACATAAGTGATATAATTTTACTTCCTCTCTTAGCTCAGTATGTTTTTGGGATTCAGCCAAACTGGCTTAATTCATTTATATTCACGACTGTTATAGGCTACCATTTTATAGAAATTCTACAGTTGATTTCTTCTTGTGTTTATAGACATAGGGGTTATTACAAGATTCTTGCTTATTTCTAAAAAAATGACTATCATTAACTGCTTCCGTATCTCTTGGTGCAAATGTCTAATACAAATTTAGATGTGGGGTTGCTGGATTGTAGGGTATTAGCACATTGAATCCTAGTAGGTGGTGCCAAATTGCTTTCCAAAGTGATTTTACCAACTTATTTTCCCATCAGCAGTGCCCGATGCTTTCTGTCTGTATCAACACTTAATGTTTTCAGACTTTAAAATATTTGCCAATCTCTTGGGTATATGTTAAAGCAATTTTAGATTGTTTCAAAAGGCAAGGATCATATCTTTTGTTGACAACATCATGAGTTTAATTTTGATTTGATTATGATGATAAAAATTTTCATGGGGCACCTGGTTGGCTCATCGGTAGATCGTGCGACTCTTGATCTCATGAATGTAAGTTTGAGCCCCATGTTGGATGTAGAGATTACATTAAAAAAAAAAAATCTTTAAAAAAAATTTGTTTTTTGGTAATTTTTTTGTGAAGATAATTAACTAATATGAAGTCACAACTATAGTATAAACTCCATTTATCTTAATTTAAAAGTAATTATAAGTACCTCATTAAAAAACCTATATATATTCAGTTTAAGATATTTGAAATCCCAAAGATGCTATCATATAGTAAAAGTTGTATTACCTGACATTTTAGGAAAATGTTTGTAAATGTACCATTCACCAGTGACCAAACTTATGGGGTTTCCTAAAGCAGCTCCTTAATTTTTTTTTTTTTTTTTAAGATTTTTATTTATTTATTTGACAGAGACAGAGATAGCGAGAGCGGGAACGGGAGAGGGAGAAGCAGGCTTCCCCCCCGAGGAGGGAGCCCGATGTGGGACTCGATCCCAGGATCCTGGGATCATGACCTGAGCCGAAGGCAGACGCTTAACGACTGAGCCACCCAGGCGCCCCAAGCAGCTCCTTAATTTTGTGATTCTAGAGACACAAGCCATTTGGACAATTATTTTCAGTATCAATTATTTCAGAATCAGTAGTTTAAATATATACATTCACATGTACTCTGTACATTGTCCCCTCCCTGCCAAAAGCCCCAAGCCCGCCCTTTGAGGGCCACCTACTCCCTTTCCCTCTTTTTTCTTTTAAATCTTTATTTATTTTTAAGTAATCTCCACACCCAACGTGGGGTTGAACTCATGACCCCTAGATCAAGAGTCATTGTATGCTGTACCAACTGAGCCAGCCAGGCACCCCTACCTTTCCCTCTTTCTATCCCCTCTTCTTCTCCAGTCCATTTTCAATTGAGAAATATTGCAGTAACGATAACCACTTGTTACTGTTATTGATAGGAATGTGGTCTGAGCAGAAAGTTAAGTTAGATTTGTTGTTTGTGGGTGCTATGTACAGTAAGCTCTGCTTTTCATTTAATTCTGTAAATTACCCCCAAAAGACAGATAAAGATGGGGTTTGGAGAGAAGTAATTTCACCAAGGTCACAAGCTAGTCAGTGGTATGGCTGGGATTTGAGCCCAGGTCCTCCTGGCTTTGAAATCAGTGCTCTTTCCAGTAAGCCATGCTGCTTCATTTAAAAAAAAAAAAAAAAAAGTTAAAAATAGACTTGTTAATTGCTCCAATACTGTATTTAAGTTTTTTAGTTTAAGTTGCAATTTTAAGAAAAGAAAGTGTTAAAAATGTGTTGATTTATCAAGTAGCTTTTCACCACAAAAATATCTATGCAGATGGAGTGTAGAGATGCAGAAATCTTGCCTCATCATCCTTATTTTTGACTGCAGATTTGGGCTGAGAGTAATTTGTACCATTTGCCCTACACCTAGGGGTAATAGAAGCGAGCACTGACTGAGTCTCAAATCTCCTTTGGTTTTAAACATCATTAATCAGGATTCTTTAAATTCTGCTATCAGCTCTTCTGTGGTCTCTTATTTTTCTTTCTGTGAGTCTTCAATTCTTTTCCATTGTTTGATGAGAAGTCTTTTTTTTTTTCTTTCATACTTCTTCCCCAGTAGGGAAGAGTGCATTCTTCTTCTTCTTCTTTTTTAAAGTAGTGTCAGTTCTATTTAAAATAATTTAGAAAATGGAAAAAATGAGAGAGGAATCCAATCTCCAAGAAAGTAGCAATTAGTCCCAGCACAAGAGAGATGAAATAGCAAGGGAATGGAAACAAGATAACTTTTTAGGCTGGAAAATTCCATTGAGTTGATAGTTAAGTGTTTGTCCAGAGAAAAACCATTGCCTGAGGGAGTCATGAGTGATTTTTCAGGGAGTGCACTCTAGGCCTGGGGAGTACTGGTGGGGGCAAAGAGTTCTTGTGCAACTGGTGCTTACTGGTTAGCAATCGGTGTACCCCGTGACACCTTTACTGATTGGCAGCAGAGAACTGAGTGGAGTAGGCTGGCGCTGTGGGCAAGATTTGAGGCTTGTGGGGGTGAGTAACATGAAAAAGGAAAAGAAGATGTACTTAAAGAATGTATCAGTTTAGTAGCAGGTGATTAAATCACATTCAAGACCTTTTTCCTCATTTTTCTACCTCAGCAGCTCTCAAGAGTTTTTCAAAGGTGACTCACAGTACAAAATACATTTTCTACAACCTAATCAGCATACATATCCTTTCATACATAAGTGTTGTTCCAAGAGGCAATACTTAACCATTACTTCATTCAGTACTCTCTGACAGTCTTCTTCTATTTATTATTAAAAAGAAATATTGATCACAAACCACCAAATTGATTTCATGAACCATGAATGTGTTGTCACTCAGTCTGAAAAACTGTTCAAACTTATATATTTTATTTTAAATAAAAATTAATGTTTTCTGGGGCACCTGGTGGCTCAGTCTTTAAGTGTCTGCCTTCGGCTCAGGTCGTGATCTTTGGGTCCTGGGATCGAGCCCCGTGTCGGGCTCCCTGCTTGGCGGGAAGCCTGCTTCTCCCTCTCCCACTCCGCCTGCTTGTGTCCCCTCTCTGGCTGTCTCTGTCTCTCTGTAAAATAAATAAAATCTTAAAAAAAAAACTTGATGTTTTCTGAATCACTGCTATTTTTAAAATACATATTTTTATAGATAAAAAGCACAAGAAAACAGGTCATATAACTATTTTTCTTATTTATAACTGAAGTAAGCTTCACTCATAGGCCTAAGTAAATACATTATTTTTAACATAATACCTGCTACTTTTGGCCATTGTAGACGTATCCTAAGGAAAGTAAATTCTTTGGGTAGTTCTTAAACTTCATATCTTTGACCTATTTCAGTAACAGAAGCATCAAACGTAGAAAAAAAAGATTGTAAGGAAGTACACCAACAGTAGTATATTAACAGTGGTTAGTGCTGGGTTGTGGGATACAGGTGACTTATATT